CCTGCACACTGTACAGAAGTATAGGGGATATTGTTTATCACTATTAAGCCCTCACGAAAGCACTCTGCTACTCTGCAAATCATATTCAAGAATAAAGAGAACCTTCCGTCAGGGTAAACAGGCCCAACTTCTTTCAGCCTATAAAGGCAAAAGAGGCTGATCTTTAGCTGAGCTGCTAATAGACAGCCACCACAGAAGAACGTAAGCCCTAATGACATCTTGAGTGGCAGTCAGAACAGGGGATCATGAACTCTGCCAGCTCACAACACTGATTCTTGCTCCAGGCTAGAAAAAAATCAACATTTTTATTACCACTTATAAAGGGTTGAAATGCTTTGCTCATTTGCAGCAGTACTGGGAGAATACTTTAGACAATTCTACAGGAAGGGAAGCTGCCCAGCATGTACTAAAACACCCACAGGTCCACCATATCCATGCTACAGATTAAGTCCAGGAAAAAATAAGGAGCTTCTTGGACACTAACTGTTTCCACAACTCAAGCATGTTTATGTGCAAGCAGTTATTCTTGCTTTAGGTATGACAAGAGAAAGTAACGATGCAAGTAATCACTTTCCAAAGCAAAAGCAGAGAACTTCACTACCTTACAGTTGAAATAAAGGAGCAAACACACCAGCTTTTCCTTTCATTGCTCATCAAAGGCAGGGAAAAAAAAAAGTTATGATTAAAAAGGTAGGAGGTAGCAAACTGACCCAACACCTGAGTTCAGCCAACAAGCTATATGATCCTCAGTCACTATTCAAGGAAGCAATAGTAAGCAACTAAAAAATGCAGACGCGCATTACATAAAAATTATCCTGGGAGACTTGTGTCTTCCAAACCAGACTCAGAAACTGAGCTAACAGAAAAAATCCACTCCCCATACAAGCAGTTGAGCAGAAGATTTGTACTACATTACTCACAGCAAACTACTACTCGACAGAAACAGCATGACAAGATTGTCATTCATGTTAAGAAAACATGGAATAAAGTTGTCATGACATGAATAATTTTTAAACGGTACTCCACTGGAGCAGACAAGAAACTGGGAATGAAAAGTTGGTAAGACACCACTCCCTGTTGCAATCATGTACTTTATGTCGTTTCTTTCCTCGAGCTTGTTCCCTCAGTAACTGAAAATGGAGAGACTTATGTGAATGAATTTTTTTTAAAAACTTTCCTTAAAACAAAGTAAAAGGCTGAAGCATCACAGGGCTGTCTTCCAATGACTTAACTGCTACAGACTTACTATTAAAACTGTTCTGTAACAGTCAAGGTGAGCCTCAAGGGGGTGGGGGAGAAGCAGCAAGGTGTTTTTAGGGAGACAAATTTAAACACATATCTATTTGAAATTGCACAGAAGCAGCACACCGAGCCTTCCTATATATTGCCTTGGTTAACTCTGACATAAGTGAGCTCAGTTTATGAGCAATAAGGATATAAAAAAAAAATCAAACAAAAATCAGAAGTGTAAAGTATTTTCATTATCGCTGTCACCATCAATAAAAAAACCTCATCTCCTCTGAACATTCATTGTTTTCAAATGAGGATTACAGATGTGAAGCTTAGTGGCAAGAGGGGACTACATCAACCACACAGCAGGCTGCTGCAATTGAAATTTGTGCCACTGCACAGCTGTCACATAGTGCTAAGTCACCTAAAAGAGCAGAAAACTCCGCTCTTTGACTGCTGGGAGCATGTATAATTCCAAGTTGCCAAGACATCAAAGCTTCACTGAAAGGACAAACAAAACCCTAAAAAAAAATAGCTTTAAATGCAGCAAGAGACATTCACTAATAAAAGAAATAAGCGAAAACTCTCTGTGCCGAAAATATAGCCTTTTCTTGCTGTATAGCTCTTCCAAACAGAAACAGATGATAAAGCAAATCAGCAGTGGAATCCTAAAGGCACAGCAAGATTTCCAGCCACAAGTGTTCCTGCTTTCCGTAACTACAACAAACCAGAGAAGACAGTTATGACTTTAATTTTAGAGCTGCGGGGATGTAACTCTGGGGAAAGCCACAAGCAGTCTCATACTTTCTGTAACAACAACAAAAAAAAACAGAATAAAAAAAAAAGGTCTAGAAGAAGAAACTCATTAACCTGCTCCGCAAGGGCTGACCATTAGCCCTGCTTAAGCTTATCTTTGGCTTCTTGAGGAAGCTAATTCAGCGAAAGATGTCCTTAAATAAATGTGTCTATGGCTTCTACTTTCTACGTAGTTCTTCCTGTACCTTACAGTATTGAGGGTTTGTAAGCGCAAACAAATAAACAAAAAAAATCGCTTTGGGGGATGGGACGAAAACGTGACCCTCAGCCAGGCCTCAGCAGGCCGAGGGTACCCAAGATCACCGATGAGGCCAAGCGGGAGGAGCTCGCTTTCGCCGGGGCGGGGGAGCGCGCGGAGACCGGGGGCGCGAGCGGTGGCGCTTCCTTCCTCACGTCCCGCTGTGGGGGCGGGGAGGGCACAGGGCGCGCCGCCAGCCTCCGGGCAGGACGGGCGGCCACATGCACGGCTCAGCACGGCCAGGCT